ATTGCTTAAGATGATTCTTAAAAATGACATTCAAATTGATGTAGTATGGATTGATCAAAATAGTTGAAGCTAAATTAGATTGGAAAAGGATGCAAAGATAGAACTTTATATCCAGATGGTGTAAACATTGGCGCTTAGTAGTATACAAGATATTGAAATAATTTTACTTAAAATATCTTTAAGAAATCTTAAAGGCAAATAAGAAATTAATAGATAGAAGAAAAAAATTGCAATATTGATCTTCAACATAAATATGATAATTATAGATGAATCAAACAAGGGAGACATATTGTGAAGTTTTGTGTTATTACATTTTAAGAAGATATTAAATAGACATGGGTAAATCCATGCATTATCTTCTTTTCATTCTAAAATATAAAACAAAAATATGAACATTAACACAACATATAAAATATGTACAAGTGTTAATTTCAGAAAATAAAAATAGTAAATTTCAATGTGATAGTAAACAAATATTCTGAGTATTATATGATTTTCATTCAAAATTAAAACATAAAAAATAGGAACATTAATATAATATGTACAAAATATGTACCGATCTTAAATGTACAAAGCCAAATCCACCTAAGTTATACACCAAAAAGTATAAGATAACTAAAACAAAAGTTGCATATGAATGAGTTTATTTAAGAATAGCATTGACTCAATGCAAACAATAAAAACAGCAAATATAAAAGTTATTGAAATCAAAATTCATTCTGTGCATGTTAACATGAAATTTTAAAAATGTATCTTTCGAGAAAATATTAAAGTATAATATGGACCGTATGAGTCAAGGTAGTAGCAAGCTCAATTTTGATAATAAAAATAATATATTCGAAAATAATAATCTCTATTATTAAGGGTTTGTTTGGGACAGCTGTAGCATAGCTGCCCCAGGAAGCTGTTGCTGGGAAAATGACTGGTTGTTTGTTTCAACTGATTGAAAACAGTTGTATGACAGTTGTTTCTGGATAAATGACTATTTTGTCCCTGTTTAATAATATTGTTTATAACTGAACAGTCATAACATATATTTGATACATTACAAGCAGAAATTCACTTCAGAACAGTATAAAAGTTTAGAAACACACCTCACTTAACGAGTATCAAGAGTGCCAAAAAAGTCAAAAACTATTAAAATTACACTTAATATAATGATTATATTGTCCTTAACATGCAGACGGTGTATGTCTCGTGCTGTACTGTCCTTCAATGCCCTTAGCATTCTTATTAGTGTACTCTTATTGTGGTATTATTGAGGTGTTATCATGATGTTATTTTACTACTCCAGTAACACATCAATAATGTCGCAATAACACCACTCAAACAGACCGCATCTACATATGTTTCCTAGCAGTGAGCATAAAAATGATGGCAAAGATGATTTGTTGTTCTTTCTTATAATATTTTCTCATTATATGCCCCAAGGAGTATCAATCCCTATGCATAATATGCAATCACAACAATTTTATGAGACTATCTACTTCACTGCCCCACTTCAGAGTGTGTATGTGATTGAAAATTTTGTTTTTCTTCTCAAAAGAATTTTCAGTTACAAAACATGAAATTCTGCATATGTTTCCTAGTAGTGAGCATGAAAATGATGACAAAGATGATATGTTACCCTTCTCCCAATAATTTATCATTATATACCCCAAGGGGCATCATTAACTATGCATTATATGATTTCACAGTAATTATCTGATACTATCTATTTCTCTATCTCACTTCAGAATGCATGTGATTGAAAAATATACTTTTCATGTCCTAAGAGTGCCCTAAGTGGTATTAGTCCTGAATTTCAGTAACAAAACATGAATTCTACATATGTTTCCTAGCAGCGAGCATAAAAATGATAACAAAGATGATCCGTTGCCCTTTTTTCCAATACTTTCTCATTAGGTGCCCCAAGGGGTGTCTGTAACTATGCATGATATGTTTTCGCAGCAATTGTCTGAGGCTATCTATTTCCCTGTCTCACTTCAAAATATGTGTGTGATTGAAAAATATGTTTCTCTTGTCCTAAGAGTGTCACAAGTGGTATTAGTCCTGAATTTCAGTAATAAAATATGAAATTCTACATATGTTTCATAACAGTGAGCATAAAAATGATGGCATATATGATTTGCCGCCCTTTCTCCAAATAATTTCTCATTAGATGCCCTAAGGGGTATCAGTAGCAATGCATGATATGCTTTCGCAGTAATTGCCTGAGGCTGTTTATTTCCCGTCTCACTTCAGACTGTGTGTGATTGAAAAATATGTTTTTCTTGTCCTAAGAGTGTCCCAAGTGGTATTAGTCCTGAATTTCAGTAACAAAACATGAAATTCTACGTATATTTCCTAACAATGAACATAAAAATGATGACAAAGATGACCTGTTGTCCTTTCTCCCAATAATTTCTCATTATATGCCCCAAGGGATATCGATAGTTATGCATAATATGTCATCACAATAATTTTCTGAGGCAATCTATTTCGTTGTTTTACTTTAGAATGTGTAATTGAAAAATATATTTTTGTGAGCATAACATTTGAAATTCGGTTTGAGCATGCTCAAACAGACCGCAACTACACATGTTTCCTGGCCATGAGTTTAAAAAAGATGACAAAGATGATTTGTTGCCCTTCTTACAATTTTTTCTCATTAAATGCCTCAAGGGTTATCAGTAGTTATGCATAATATGTCGTCACAGTAATTTTTTGATATATCTATTTCACTGTCACTTCAAAGCTTGTATGAGTGAATGAAAAATATGCTAAAGAGCGATACCGGAAATATGAACGAAAAATTTGTTATACGATGCAAATCTGCGAAAAACGAAAATTTCTTAAAGAGAATATAAGAAAAGGTGATACCCGAAAAAGATGGTGTCCGAAATGATGAGTTAGGGCAGAGGAAGCAGAAGCTCCGCGGGGAAGGTAAGGGAAGAATTCGAACGCGGGGTGGAATCCAGGGGCAAGCGTGTAAAATATCGAAGAAGAAACACGGGCTGCGGCCAGCGTTTTGCTAAACGGCACGGCCGCGGCCCGCCACAAGAAAAACACCACCCCAAAAGACACAAATTAGCAGCTCCAGGC